GTATAAATATACAAAATTAGCTAAAAGTATGCCATACCCTTCAACAATTGGCAGATGAAAATGGGGGCCAAGCAACATCGGAGTGTGGTCAATATGGCTTTTTTTAAAATATAAAAAACATTATAGGTAGGAGAAATCACAGCAGTTTGCTTTTGCTTGAGCCTAGTGGGAAGTGCAAGATTCCTCTCCTCTCTGTTGAGCTGCATGCAAAATGCTCTTGCTCTTTAAATTCAGTTTGCAGCAATTGAAGTAAACTAGAGTGAAGGTGGAAGGAGAAGAGAGAAACTGGGACATTTTAAATCAGCTGTAAAAGTGGGATGACATAGAGATGAATTGGAACCATTTCTGCCAGATTGAGTATGATGGATATATGTGAAAATGTGCAGGTATATGCCATCCAGAGAGTACAAATGTAGTATTTGAAATTATCTCATTTGAATTTTGGAAGAAAAGTTTGCACAACTGGCTTCTAATAACTTTGGGGAAATCTAGTTCGTCTGCAAATATGTAAAAAATGCACTCAACAGTCAGCTGTACTCTTCTGAACTGCCTATCAATCCCCAAGAGTCAAATCCTACCCCTTGTCAGTAAATGCTACAAATAAGAAAGCTGCTTTTCATTAGTGCTTGACATTCTTTTATGTAGCCTGATCATCAACACAAAAAGAGAGCAATTAAACTGCAGCTTCAATTCAGGCTAACAGATGGGTCTCTCCCTTCCAACTCTTGCTGTACAACTGAATTGTTGCTTCAAGAAATTGACATGTATTCACTTTATAGAACACCCATATGTCTCTCTTGCTTTCCCAAGCTCTTAGGATGCTGGAGGATGAAGCATCATGGGGAAAGCAAGGAAAGGCAGCTGAACCAATGCCTGTATTCCTTTCGTAGAATAGGGGGGCAATTTTGTCTAGTTGAACAATAGACTAGTGGAGGTGAGTCAGAGCAACATTCAGATGCATTAAGGAGAAAGATTGATATTGGAGAAAGGTGGGGGTAAAGTGGAGCCAGTTGTAAACACTGACTAACTGCTGTGTCTCAACGGAAAGAAGATTGGACATGCTCACATGCACCTGAGACCCTTCATTCACAGAGAACATTGCTCTCACCTTGTTTCTTAAACTCCCTTGGCATTTAAAACACTTTTTGGGAATTTTGGTCTGACAAATGTTTAAGATTAGAATGGGCTGATGAAACTGTATGGAAATTTTCATTTTATGTTTATTATTTTTGGATGATTCAATCAATCTATCAAACTTTATTTATATCCTGCCCCATTTCCGGGGTGTCTTACAACATAAAAGGCAACCATTCAATGCCACAAAATACACAATAAATTAAAAAAAAATACAGATAGATAGTATAAACATACAATTGTAACCAAAACATAAGTGAACTACAATTTATAGCAACAGAAAAAACAAAGTTAAAAGTCAGATCCACAGATTAAAACACTACATCCAGTGTTAAAAGCCATATCCATAGAGATAGACCATTCCTTGTTTGGTGAAGCCAAATCTTCAGACATTTGGCTGGGAGCATAGGTAAGTTTTTAGTTGCTTTCTGAAAGAGGGGAGCACAGTGGCCATTCTAATATTTTAATTCATATGTTAAATGTTTGGATGATTTCATGAATCATGGATGCCCACCAAAGAAAAGGCTATTTCACACAGTATGTCAAATATGTGTGAAGCCCCTCATAAAAGCACTTCCACATCTCATTGTACCACCACACCCAATCCTTTGGAAATATAAGGCAAGGGAAATTACAACAGCAAAACAACAGAGAGGAAACAAACAAGGACATCTAATCACCTCTCAACAAAAGATTGCCACAGGCACTGCCAGGATATCAAAAGCTAATCAAGGTGGTCAGTTGAAACATTCACACCTAGCTCCAACAGACAAGAGTTCTTTGTCCCACCCTAGTCATTCCACAGATATATAAACCCATTTTCCTAGTTCCAACAGACCTCACTACCTCTGAGGATGCTTGCCATAAATGCAGGCGAAATGTCAGGAGAGAATGCCTCTAGAACATGGCCATATAGCCCGAAAAAACCTACAACAAGCCAGTGATTCCATGAAAGCCGTCGACAATACAATTATTTGTATCTTTCTGGATCCCATTACATTTTGTCCCTCTCCCACAGCTGTACAAATATACTTTATACCTGAGGCTTTAATGCCACTCAGGCCCATTTATACAGCCATATAAAATCCAGATTATCTGCTTTGAACTGGATATATGGCAGCATAGACTCACATAATCCAGTTCAAACTGGATTATCTGTTTTGAAAATCTGGATTATATGGCAGTGTAGATCCAGCCTCAGTATTGCCACTGAAGAACTAGGTTTATATCCACAAAAACTCATGCTAAAATAAAAACCAGGTAATGCCCCATTACTTTTTCCTCTACCCTTCCCTTTATCCTTTTTATGCCATGAGGGTCAAACACAGCTACTTTTAAAAATCCAGACCTGTTAGCATCCTGGAAAATATAAAGTGTAGCTTCTATTTCTTTCACAAAAAAAAACATAGCACAAATGACTTGGGAAAGAGCAGTGTCTTATCTTCTCTTGTTTTTCCATACTGTTTAGACACAGTTTAGGCCCATACAAGGGGCTTGTCCTACTAAACCTTTTTGTCCTCATTTAAACTAAAGACCCAAGCTCTGGCTCAAGACACCCTTCTGCCTGGGGCAGAGTAACTAAGGACACACACAAACCTCCGTCAAGATGCAGACTAACCATGGCTGTTTTAACATTACTTGAACATTCCTAGAAGGATCTCCTGAGGACAGAAGTCCAACAAGAATAAATTATCAGCCAAGCACCGCAGGGGTAGTGGCTCTGATATTAGCAAGTCAGCATTTCAATTCCAGATATTAAGCCAAACTTTATAGGAGTTATTCAGGGTGCACAATCCTACTACCATCCTCCCTTGCTCCCAGGTTCAGCACCTTGGCTATCTCCTTTAAAATTTGGATTTCAACAGGAACAGATTCATTGTCACCCTGGCATTAGAGTCACTATTGCCACCAGCAGACAGCTCTACATAACTCTACCCAATAACAGGGCCGGCTGTCGTTTTGTGAACCATCATGGTGTCATGGTTTGGGTGTTGGACTAGGACTCCGTGAAAGCAGGGTTTGAGTCCCTGCTTGGCCACAGAAACCCACGAGGTGATCTTGGACAGGTCAAACTATCAGCCTCAGAAAAAAAAAGATTGAAAATTGTATGAACAAATCTCACTTTTAAAAAAAACTTAACATTATAGGTCTGCCACAATAGAGTCATTGTTGTGTAGTGGTCTAAGTATTGTACTTTGATTCCAGAAACCAGGGTTTGAATCCCTGTTCAGCCACAGAAACCCTCTGGGTCGCCAAAGGGAAGTCAAACCTTGCCAAGAAAATTTATTTATTTATTACATTTATATACTGCTTTTCTCACCCCTGACAGGACTCAAAGTGGCTCACCACATAACCAGCAATCACAAACATCACATAAAACATCTAGGCCTTGCATCGATCCCGAGGTTATCTTTTAATTACTTCCATGTTTCCATACTACTGTCATTCACCAAATGGCTTCTGAAATAACCAGGTCTTAAGTTGTTTCCTAAATGCTAAAAGAGAGGGGGCCAATGTAATTTCACTGGGGAGGGAGTTCCAGAGCTGAGGGGCCACCACCAAAAAGGCCCTGTCTTTTATCCCTGCCAATTGCACCTGAGAAGGCGGCATGATGGAGAGCAGAATCTCCCCAGCAGATCTTATTGTTCTAGCTGGCTCATAAAGGGAGATGCATTCAGACAGGTAAGCTGTACTGGAACTGTTTAGGGCTTTGTAGGCTTTTTTTCATGTCAGAAGTGACTTGAGAAACTGCAAGTTGTTTCTGATGTGAGAGAATTTGCCATCTGCAAGGACTTTGCCCAGGGGACATCTGGATGATTGATGTTTTACCATTCTGTGGGAGGCTTCTCTCATGTCCCCACATGAGAAGTTAGAGTTTGACAGGCGGGAGCTTACCTCACTTCCTGGATTTGAATTGCCAACCTGTTGGTCGACCAGTCCTGCCAGCACAAGGGTTTAACCCATTGTGCCACAAACCAGCACTTTGAATTTTGCTTGGTAGCAGATTAGGAACCAGTGGAGCTGACCCAACAGGGGATTGTATGCTCCCTGTACGCAGTTCCTGTGAGTAACCTGCCTGCCACTCATTGGATTACTTGAATCTTCTGAGCGGGGTTCAAAGTCAACCCCGCATAGAGTGTGTTGCAGTAGTCTATTCTGCTATATTTGTCACATAACGATCCTAAGGGTTTATTATATAACCATCCTGAGTCCCTTTGGGAGCGAGGGTTAGTTATAATCAATTAATTTATTATTATTATTATTATTATTATTATTATTATTAAACCATTTGAAGGCATTATCGAAGGCTTTTGCTTGCCGTAATCACTGGGGTGTTGTGTGGTTTCTAGGCTATATGGCTGCTAGAACATAGCCATACATCCTGGAAAGGCAAACAACAAGCAACAAGGCTTACTTTGAGATCCCATGAATCAGAAACAATTAAAAAAACAACAATTTTTTTCATTTTATTGTAGATAAGCATGGAGGAGGGAGGGATTAGTATCACAATATGTGTAAATTGCAACATTTATGCCCAATTAAAATCATTATCTAAAAAGACACAAAAAAACAACATCAGCAACAACATAAACAATAGGATGCACCACCAGTTCTTTTTTTTTTAAACTATCTATCTGTATAAAAATATTCCCACACTTCAGAAGACATAGCTGTGTGAAGTCCTGCGCATCTGAAGCTAATATGGAAAGCGGTCCTTATGGAGTGAGATCTCAATCCAGTCTCCTGATCTGTTGCTAAAGAGAATGAGAGGGAAGAGCTGGCCTCTTGCACCACCTAATGGATAAAAGCAACCTGGCAAAAGAGAAGGCAGCAGCTGTATATTTTGTTCATGAATGACTCTGAGAAGGGCTGACTGCAGCGGGTGCTCCTCCCCCCCTTCTGTCCTCCTGGATTCATTGGAGAGCAAACTTGTGGAGGCTGCTAGATGTCTCACCCCGGCAAAAAACCAAAACAAGACAAAATCCCTCACCCAATTCTTTTCTTTGGAATGATTTCACCTGGGGAAGGCTGGCCTTAAATACTTTTTTAAAAAAGAAGGGGGAAGAACCTTTCAGCCAAGGAGTTTCTACAAGGCAGATGAAAGGAACTCAAGGTAAGTGGAAGGATTTCTCTGCAACTACTGGAAACATATATAGGAATAGTGCTTGTGTGAGGATATCTCTTATGTTCTCCTGCAATCCTTTTCTTTCTGTATCTATATTTTAGGCTTGTACATGTATATATCTGTGTATCCTTCATTCTGTATATCTTTATAGAGAAGCAGGAATAACCCAGATGGTAGCCTGAAAACCAATGAGCTTTCCCATTGAAATGAATGACATGCTCCTGAGACTGAATGAGTGCCTTGGGAGAGAAGGGAGGGCTGAGGATGGCAGAGAATCAGTAGGAATTCTGGTAAAACTCATTGACTTATTCCCCCACCCTTTTCAATATTGCTGCAGGTACATCAGAGGTGCAAGTCAAATTATTTGGAAGAGAAGACAACTAAACTCGAAGAAGGAAAACAAACACTAATAACTCTGTGCCTGCTCCCTGGGCAAAGCCCAGAGAAGGACCCCCAACTAAAAAACAGTGAATGGTATTTTTTTTAAATGACACAGAAACCCAAATGGGAATAAAGGGGCGTTGCAGAAGAATGAAAGAAGGTTAAGGCCTGGAACTAAGGAGGAGGAAGCTGTAGAAGGAACTGCAGTGCCCAGGAGGAGGCTTTCTTTTCAAATCAAAGCAAAAGGCACTGGATGGAAAGAACCTGCCATGGATCCTCTGTGCTTCTTGGGAAATGATCCATGGACTTATAACTGCTCCTTCAACAATTACACACTGGAGAACCAGACCTCCCAGACCAACCAAACTTTTCCCATTAAAAGGAATGAGGACGTTGCCAAGGTGGAGGTGGCAGTGCTCTGCCTCATCTTCTTCCTTGCCTTGACTGGAAACTTGTGTGTACTTATGGCTATCTACACCACCCGTCACAAGCATTCCCGCATGTACTTCTTCATGAAGCACCTAAGCATTGCTGACCTGGTTGTGGCTATCTTCCAGGTCTTGCCTCAACTCATTTGGGACATCACCTTCAGGTTCTATGGGCCAGATTACCTCTGCAGGTTGGTCAAGTACCTGCAGGTGGTAGGAATGTTTGCTTCCACTTACATGCTCCTGCTGATGTCTTTAGATCGGTGCTTGGCCATCTGTCAACCTCTGCGGTCTTTACACAGAAGGTCTGACCGTTTGTCTGTCCTCCTCACTTGGATAGTGTGCCTTGTTTTCAGCATCCCGCAGCTCCAGATATTTTCCTTGAAGGAGGTGGCTCATGGAGGGGTTGATTGTTGGGCAACATTCATCCTACCTTGGGGACCTAAAGCCTATGTCACCTGGATAACCTTGACTGTCTACATCATCCCTATGTTTGTCCTGAGTGTCTGCTATGGCTTGATCAGCTTCAAAATCTGGCAGAACATTAAATTAAAAACAGTCCATGAGACCAATCTCAACCTGACCTCTAGTCATTACCATGGGGGTACTCTGTCAAGGGTGAGCAGTATAAAGCTCATTTCCAAGGCCAAGATCCGGACAGTCAAGATGACCTTCATCATAGTCTTGGCATTTGTTATGTGCTGGACTCCTTTTTTCATTGTTCAGATGTGGATTGTCTGGGATGAAAATGCTCCAAAAGAAGGTATAGTTTGCTCTCCTTGTCCTTTCCTATGTATGCCTGTACACACTTCATGCAGTAATGATGGAAAAATTGGTCATGATAAGATCTTTAACATATATGTCAGTTCTTTATCATTATGGTGTAGCATCATGTAGAAGTTTACATTTACTTGGGGATGGGAAAATCCATCAGCAGCATAATTAAGATGTAAAGGCAAGAAATCTGATTTCACTTGCTGGAATGACAGGGCAGAGAATGGGTGAAATCTGACATTTTGAGATATTGGGTATTACTAATGTGACCTTTGATAAGGTGCTGGTTTTTTCCTGTCCTTTATTTTCTTGCCTCAGAATAAAGCACTTGATTAAGAATGTAGAAACATGAAAAATGCACAGAATTTGGAAATGTGACTTGCTGGAATACGACTCTCAAATTCTGGTGGCTAGGGGATTCTGGGAGCTGTAGTACACAAAGTAACTTTTATAACTTCTAAAATGTTCATAGTGATGTCTAGTATTATATGGTGTCTAGTATATTAGAGAATCATACATAACTGGTCAAGTCTCTAAGATCAAATTACAAAAATATGGTATTCACTGATTTCTGAATGTTATGATGCAATCTGGGGAAATCCTCAGAGCAATTTATGAATGGGCATCTAGGTTGTCTGTGACTGAGAGTTAAAGTTCAATGAAGGGGATAATGAAAAGATTTCTTTCATGTCATGAACTGAGATTACAAATTGGGTTTTGTGCAATGACAAAATTACAGTGATTAGTTCCTTTCCAAAGCAGGACAGTTATTCTAGCTTCCTTCTGCTTGTGGAATCTATTTTTGATTTGTCTGGGAATGGTATAAACAATTCCCTAGCAAACGGATAAGATAAATAAGATGTCATTGACTGGCTATCAGTGATCCATTCTCTGTAGCCATTATTGTGCTAAATAATAAATTTGTTGGACATTCAGATACCCCAAATCTTTTTTCTTGTTTTAGTTCCTTAAAGTCTGGAAGTTCCAACTTGTCATTCTAAAATCCAGTGCCAATTGCTAATGTTTACATTGGTAAGCATTTTGAACAATCTGATTCTGGTGGTATTTGTGGTGCTTGGCTGGGATTAGAATAATGATGACAGGCAATCTTCATAGGATGAAGAATGAATTTCTTGTGGTTACCTGTCTATGTAGCTTTCAACCATTAGAAACACCTCTTCCCATCAACTCTATATAGAAACTAAAGTCTATTGGCTGGTTTAGTCATGTGTGCTCATTTAATGATTTCAAAACCAGATCATTACTTAGATGTTTTGATAGACTTTCTGAGATTAAACATCACAGCCAGAACTATATGCTCATTTTGACCATCCCCAAAATGTATTTACACAACAAGGATGGATAACTTTTGTATGTTCAGGGGCCACAGTAGACTGGGGTTGAAAGTGTATTTCACTGTACAACCTGAGCACTTTAATGACATGTCAAAATCTAAATTAAATTCAACATCACTTTGAAATAATGGATTTGACAGTCAATCCAAGTGTGCCATATCTTCTAAAAAAGGGAAGAACATACAAATATTGAAAATGTCTATCTGTCATAATTCTGGAAACTGCTGAAATCTGCACAAGTGAAAATGTCTGGAAGTAGTTTAGCAAATTGATTAAAATTTGCAGTGATGGCAAGAGCTGGAAAAGAACTGGACCCGAGTTGATTAACTATCTCCGCACATATACATACATCTGTGTGTATATGTGTTGACTTATGGGGTTTCTTAGGCAAGGACTATGCAGAAATGGTTTTGTCAGTTATTTCCTCTGAAATATAGCATGCATTTCCTAGTGTTCATTGGTGGTCTCCCATCCAAGTACTAATCATGGCTGATCCTGCTTAGTACCCAAGATTAGGTGGGATTTGGTTCCCTTTACTAGGGGACTATAAATAACCATTCCTTATATTATTCTAAGAATTACTGGTGTGACTTTCACCAATATAATTGGCCATAAAATATGACTCCTGTATGCCCTGTGGCTAAAATTTAGACTTGGTGTGATGTGAAGCCAATGCTGCCTGTAGGAAGAGGGAAACAACAGCTTCTGGCAACAGCTTTTGTACATCATGAAAAGTCAGCAAACTTTTGCTTATATCTTTTGCCATTTCTATATTTTCACTACCAAGGGTGGGGAGAGGTATTTATAGACTTTCTGTATCAAGTGCCAAAACAAGTTGGTTGGCTTGGAGTTGGTTTCTTTGCTATGGGTATACATTGGGGGAGGGGGCACATTTGTTGCTTTGTTTGGAGCAGAATACTGTCTTGGTGTGCTGCATTTTCCCTTCTTATGTTTTCTCAGAGACATTTCTTTCTGCCCTTCTTCTTCCTCCTCTTCCTTTTAATGTGAAGCAGCGTCAGGGCACTAGAGCTCTAATTCTTTATTAGGAGATGAATGTGTATAATGAGCTGTGTCTCTCTAACGACACTCCCAATCACCCCCCCCCCACCCAGCCTTCCTTGTAAACAGTGCAGCCTCCCCAACATGACCATTTCCATGTTGACACAAAGTATGGAAATATTAGGGATGCATCCAGCTAGCTAGCTGGCTGGCTGTGTTGTGACAGGGATCCATAGGGATCTCTAGGGAAATATTCACCATCGTGAAAATAGTGATCCCCCTACTCTCTGGCAATGTAGTTATTGCCATGTGGGGGTTTTTTTGGGAGGTGGGAATTGCCCTGTAAGGAAAATGACTCTGGTAAAGATTTTAGTTGTATGGTCAGAACCGAATTCAGATATGTGCAACCACTAGAAAAGTGAGTTTTGATAGTATGTTACACCGCCACTATGCACTTGTTTAGTCATTGCAAAGATCAGAATCCTGTTCTGTGATTGTGATTCACCAGCAGGATTTCGTCCTGCAGGTTTAAGTCGATGAATGTCCAGAAGTCCATCGAAACGTTTTCTCCCAATGACCCTACCTCAACCTGAGAGAGAGAGAGAGAGAGAGAGGATATTTCTACTGCTGCTCCTTTGAATGGACAGTCAGTGTACTCCAGTGGACAGAATGCTAGACTTGGATGAAAAAAAAATAATTCAAATAACTCCCTCCCATGATGCAATCAAGATATTACATTTGAGTTGCATAATAATAATAATAATAATAATAATAATAAGAATAATAATAATAAGAATAATTTATTTGTACCCGCCACCATCTACCCGAAGGGACTCGAGGCGGCTCACAGAAGCACTCAAGGTACAACACACAATATACAATAAGTACAATGTAACTATCTGCATGAAAACTTATAATTGATCCTACACAATCCTTGTGTTGCATGACAGTGTTGTGCAACTGAATGCACAATTCAAGATGCATGCAGATGGTACTACATGGAGAACTCTGCTTCTTGAACAGAATAGGGATGTTCTACAACAAATGTCCAACTAATTCTTATGAACAAATAAGACACCAGTAACATTCTGGCTGCTGAATAGGGACAACTTTGCTTAATTAGTTCATTGCAATATGATTGTGAGCATAAAATCGTAGGAATTATACAATCTTAAACATTATAAGAATCCACAAGGGCCTTCCAAAGAAAGAGGAAAGGTATTTCTTGTATTAAACAGCTCTTACTAAAACATTCCTTGTAAATTTTAGATGGAACCTCTTCTCTTGCTGTCTGAACCCACTGATTCAAATTATGATTTCTGGACCAGCATCTTTTACATGATATCTCTTCAGATATTTATAAATAGTTATGTCATTTCTCAGTCTTCTCTTCTTCAAGCTAAAAATACCAGGCTCCTGAGTTCTTCTTCACAGGCTTGGGTTCCAGATCTTTGATTATCCTCCTCTAGGCAAGTTTCAGCTTATTAATATCCTTCTTGAGCTGTTGTCGCCCAAAACTGTATTCCAGGTTAGGTCTGACCATAATAGAATAGGGTTGGACTATTCCTTCTTTACATCTGGACATGCTTCTGTTGATGCATCCCAGAATTGCATTGGTTTCTTTGGACATTGCATTACTTTGTTGACTCATGTTTAGCCTCAGGTCTACTAAGATCATTAAATTCTTCTCACATGTACTCCTTTCAAGCCAGATATCATTTATCCTATGACCCCTTTATCTACAGACTCAATATCCATGATTTCACTTACCCCAAAATATTCCCCACTCTCCAGTGGTCTTTGTGGGACTCTCTAGGTCCTCTAGTGTTGTGTGCCTCTGGTCCAAGTATAGTAAAAATCTAGGGTTTGCTATTATCCATGGTTTCAGGTCCCTATAGGTATATGTGTGCTGGATATAACTCCCAGGGATATGGGGACTGAACTGTACTGATAATATTGGACAGGACAAATATTGATCTTTCAGTGCTGAACATTAAAGTCAGACATTTGCTTTCCTGCTGTGTGCTTCCAGCTCTTTCTCAGGTGATATACACTAGTGGCAGGCTAGGAAGCCCAATACTTGGAGGAGTCTCGGTTGTTCCACTCTAGCATTTGGATGAAACAATTAGGATGAGTTTGCTAAGTGGAACAGATGGGAAGATAACCCTCAAAGTTTAACCTGCAGGCTCTGTTCTGTGCTTGGACTTGGCTGCTACAATGAAAAGTTCAGTATCTGCCTGATTAACTAATTGGTTCTCAACCAGAATGGACAATTTCCTTAATTTTGGGAGGTCAAATGTTTCTCACTGTTTTAAGCAGTGGGAAGTAATTCCAATTTATTTCACTTTAACCATCCTTAAGAAAGCTGGAAGATTTTGATCAAAAGTGCCAGACTGTCTGAAATAATTATGTGCTTACATTGCCAAATTGTCCAGAGAGACCTTTATCTTATTCCTGAAGAAGGAAAACAAGAAATTTCAAAACTTTCATGTTCCCTCCGGTGGAAGAAAGAAAGAAAAAGAAGAAATAAAAAATTCCGTAGTCATGTGTTTGTTTTCCCTATAAAAGGTGATAGAAAATGAAACATAGAGGAGAAAAAAACCGTAGGAGGAAAAAGAGAGTGAGAACAGAGGAG